ATTTTGAAAGTCATCCAAACTTCAAAACTCAAGAGGACTTACAAAAACAAAAAATATGCAGTTGCTTTCCTTTTAAGAACTTGTGACCTGTGCAATCAACCTCTAGTCAAAGGGTGGCGCTAAGTACATAACGCATAAAGAAAACCACAAATCAAATTATGACAAAAAAGAATACAACTGAAACAATGGTTGTATTTATAAAACTTGAGAATGGAAATGTTTTGCATTACACTGGTGTCCTGGTTAGAATGTATAGTCCTGTTTTGTTATTACCATTTTCCCCATCTTGTTCTCTGAACAGAAACATGGAAATGTGATTTTTAACTGAGGAATTTTAACTGACCAAAAAAATATAAATAAATACAGATTTATTCATCTTGAAGAGATCCGTTACTGTGTGTCAGAGGACATGGACAGTTGTGGTCACACCTTTAAAAGAGGAATCAAACTGGTTTACATTCAATATAAAGTTTAATTTTAAAGTTCTTATAGAACACATTCTCACTCCCAACTCGTCACATTTGGACGTTTGGTCAGGCTTCCTCTGCGTCACATACAGACTTGGGGAGTAGCGCTTTCTCGTCAATATTTTATATTGTTAACTTTAACTTTCGATGAGGTTACAATGAAGATAAGCATTATTTATAAGCTTGATATCTTTGAGGCTAGTCTAATTCATTCTTCTTTGTGAAAAAAAAAGAAAAAAAAGAGATTAATCCAAAGGAAGGTAAAATTGCAGCATTAATTCAGAAAATCTGAAAACATTTCATTTAATTTCCTTTTCCTTGATGATACACTCTTTTATAGCTTTCAAAATATTGTAATGGACCCGTCCTCCTCATTCCATGTAGGCTAACAGTCAGCGCCTTGCGCATCAAATATTGAAGAGAAAGGGCTACTCTGCGTTTCAGTATGTGACACAGAGGGGGCCTGACTACGCGTCCAAATGTGACGAGTTGGTAGTGTGAATGTGTTGTCTTATGCCAAGAAGATGAGTTAAATAACAAAAAATATTTTTTTCCCCTTTGGTATCCTTTAATATGCTTCTCCAACCCTGGAATAAATACAATAAGAAATCTATTATTATGTTCTGACAATGCTACAAGCAAAGTACTTCACCGTTACTCTAAAAGGCAATCCTGATCCAGCACATACAGCTGCAGCCTTTCATTTCTTATACCTATCTTTGTTTTAATATGCCTTGTTGATGATTGGATCCACTTTTTATGACAAAAAAATTGCATTATAACTTTGCAAACTTACATTGCGTTTTCAAAACTCTGATTCCATAAAATGCTAGCCTCCATGCATGGTCTGCTTTTCAGAAATCCATTCAATGGAGTAGGCATTGCTAGTTTACAGATGGAATATCCTGGATTCAAATCCCTCCTTGGCTTCCTGTGTGAATTTTGATGCTTTACTACCTCTTGGGTTCTCTCCCTGTTATTCCAGCTTCCTCTTACCATTTAAAAGCTTGTGTGATGGGTGAGAGGTTCTAAATTGCCTTTTGGTGGTGTGAGACTGTGTGTGCATGATTGTTTGCCCTGTGTGCCTCTGCAAACTACCGAAAAATCTAAAGTTGCTAGTGGGCAATGCCTCTTAACTGCTGGAGATAAGGAACAGCTTCCTGTGACTCTACAAAAAAAAAAAAAACTTGTGAAGAAATAGTTAGATCTCCTGAAAAGGATTCACAATTTCATTGGACAATCATCTTTAAACCTGCTTTTTTAGATAACATAATGGCAGAAAAACAGAATAGTTCTTGGTTGAGGACACTGACACCAATCTAACACTTTTGCAGTTTACTGTGTTTCTTTAAAAGTATCTACAAAAGTATCAAAAATGGTGTTCAAGAGAAAAGTTAACCATCTTGCTCATATGGCTCAGCTTCCAATGTTCATGATGTTTGGTATCAGAAATGCAGCATGAGAAACACAATATGGAGATGTTAACAAGCCATTTTCTCCCACTTGTGCGTGCAGAAATGGAGGCCAATCAGAAAAAGGCAGAATGGCCAATCAGAAACAGTAGCCTTGGAAATAGCCAATTAGGCCTGTTTGTCTGCGAGGACAAAGGAAGTGATATTGCCGAGTGATTGCACCAGCAGCAGGCTACACAAACATGCTCAAATGACACCTTGCTCGTTGCCTTCCAACCCTAATTTCAGAGGAGTGTGGGATCTTGATTGCATCTGTGCCGGCAAGAGAGGACGGCTCATTATTACACCAAAACAATCGCCACCTCAGAGGCAAAAAACAGAGATTTTATTTTCATTAGGGAGCAATTGAGTCACCAGCTCTGGAGTCAAGGCCATCACACATACACACACACACCCAAAGACTTCAATCTGGCTATTTTATTCCAAAAGATTTCTCCCTTACTCTAGACCACTTAATGAAGCTGTAAATTTAGAGACGTGAGGGCCTTCACAGCGCTCCTCTGAGAGCTGCTACAATGATCCTGGGACCGAGTTGGTTAATTAACTGATTGTTTGCTTGGCTGGGAGCCACAGAGAAAGAGGGTAGATGTAGAGAAAGACAAGAAAGAGGGAGGAGAAGAAAAGGCCACGAGAACAGACGACAGAACAGAACAGTAGTACAAAATTTGAAAATGCAAGAAAAAAAAAGGATAAAGCATAATGGGGAGCCACTAGTCAGAAAAAGTCAGGAGATAAAAAGGGGAGATAAAAAAAAAATGCTTTCAATTAGTTTAAAAAGTAAATTTGAAACAAACTTTTTTAGTGTAGCTTCTTGGATGACAGACACCAGGCTTGTTATCAGCTTGGAGTGAATGAACAAGACTGCATGATGTGATCAGCAGGTGGGAGTGTAGCCTAGCGTGAAATGGAGGCATTTTCACTGTGGTAATCACTGACAGTAAACACAACTTTGTAAAAATTCCAAATATATTAGTAAATAAACCATGAACACATTGGTTTGCTTTTCTTATCCCTGATATGAACACAACTGTTCTCAATCTACATCTCTACAATCAAAGCCAGTTATATATGATTAGCTGTTTATCCTGTAAGGTTTCAAAACATGGCTGTTGGGTTAATTGGTTCATCTAAAATGCTATAAGATGTGAAATGCTGTTTGTCCAGAGTCTCTGTGTTAACCCTATTATAGATTTATGATAAGTAGTTATAAACACTGGATGGATGGCCTTCAACAGATATCCAAATGCTGAGCTGTTTGTCGTTGAGCCTATTGAGCAAATAAGCATATAACATTTATCTTTTCATAAGTCTAGCTTCAAAGAAATTACATTTTTCATTACTTTAACTAATACTACATTAATATTTTTGAAAATGAGAGAATAAAATGGGAAAGATGAGTTTAGTTCCTGCAGGTTTTCCTGGTTGCTTCATACCTTTCTTGAATCATCCTAGAAATGTGCAAAAGAGTAAGTGCATTTCTCAAAAAAGACCTTTCAAGAAGCAAAAAAACCTTAGATTATCTGCAAAAGTCAGCCTCTTTCTCAAAATCAGCAGTGTATCTTTCAAAAGTAAATATCTATGTCAATGTCAGTCAGTGCCATCAACATGACAAGTCCTTGCTTCAGTGTGTCCAGCTAAGATGGTTGTAGATTGCTTGGTCATATTGTTAATTTAATATTGTAGTCAATAATAGTGTACTCGTGAGAGAGTAGCACAAAACTAAGCAGAAGTAGGCGTAGAACAATCTTTTAGGTAAAACTGTAGGCCTACATGAAGAGAGCTTGACATCTATGTCTTTTGGCCAAAGAGTCTCCTCACTTCACAGTCTATATCTTCTCTTGGAGTGTGGAAAAATCTTAAAAATAAATTTTCCAGTCTCTGTAGGCAACTGTTGTGATGTCGTCACACGCTGCAAGTCATTTGGAGTACATGTTAACATATTTGAAAAAATAAAATAAAAAATAAAATAAAATAAAGTATAATAGTATGATTCTCTCATTTTCAAAGAGAAAATATATCTCACAGGCCCACTATATATATATATATATATATATATATATATA